CAGGACTTAGGAGAGACGGGTACGTGTGGCAGCTCCGGAAGGCCATGTACGGCACGCGCAAGGCGGCCCAGGCCTGGCAGGAGTACGTGGCCGGGGTGTTCAAGAAGAACAACTGGACGCGCATCGCGGTGGCGGCGGGCGTGTACCACGAGCCTCTCTTGGACATGACCTCGGCGATCCACGGTGACGACATCTTGACCGAGGGCGAGGAGGAGTCCCTGGATGTCCTGGACCAGCAGCTGATGGCGAGCATGGACGTCAAGTGCATCGGTCGTGTCGGGCCGGATGGCGTTCGCGAGCTCCCATGCCTCAAGCGCAAGATCAGGTGGACGGGCAAGGGGTTCGTCTGGATCGGCGACACGAAGCACGTGACGAGGTGCGTGGAGCTGCTGGGCCTTACGGAGTGCAAGCCGGCGGACACGCCTGGGAGCAAGGCCACGGGCAAGAGCGTCCGGGAGGCGCTGGATCCACTTCCGCACGACGAGGCGAAGCTCTACCAGCAGGTCGCGGGGCTCGTCAACTACGTGGCGGTAGACAGGCCGGACATCCAGTTCGCGGTGAAGGTGATCCTCACGGACATGGGGAAGCCCACAGTCATCAGCATGCTTAGGCTGAGGCGGTGCGTGCGGTATCTCCACGGTCGGCGCGAGCTCGGGTGGTTCTACGAGAAGCAGGAGATGCCCAAGGCGGTTCTCTACGAGACGGACTCGGACTGGGCAGAGGATGAGATCACGAGGAAATCGACCAGCTCCGTGTACGGCTTCTTTGGCAGCCACCTCCTGGAGACCCAGGTGGCATCGCAGCCCGTCGTCGCGCTCAGCAGCGGAGAGGCCGAGTTCTACGCCATCGGCCGAGGCGCGGCGAGTGCGATCATGATGCGGCAGTTCTACCAGCAGTGTGGCATCGAGGTCGCGTCGAAGGTTCACAGCGACTCGAATGCAGGCAGGGCGATCGCGACGCGGATCGGCAGTGGCAAAGTACGGCATCTACAGATACGAGACCTGTGGGTGCAGGAACGAGTCAGGCTCGGCGAGCTACAGCTCGGGCGAGTCGACACGGAGAGCAACAGGAGCGACTTGGGGACCAAGCATCTGGACGGCAAGCGGGTGCTCAAGTTGCTGGAGATGTCCAACCTGCGGCTTCTGACCAAGGGGCTCGCCGCGGGCGTGGGCGTCACTTTCACGGAGGCGGCCGAGCACGGAGACAAGCAGTGCTCCACGGCCGCTGACGACGAGGTCGAGTCGAACATCGGCTCGATCGTTCTCGCCATGATCGTGTTCATCATCGTGCTGGTGCTCGCGGTCAAGGGCGCAGTTGTGTGCACGAGAGGGGCGGTGCAGCTCTTCTCATCTAGGGCGGCGAGTGCTGCCCCACCAGCGGGAGCGGCGAGGGCTGCCCCGCAGGCCGACGGCACGGCGAGGCCCGAGGCGGCGTCGAAGGACGCGCCTGAGGGGCATGTCGTTTCTCGGGCAGCGGCGATAGCTGCGCCTGAGCGGGTCGCCGAAGGGCGAGACCTCGGTTCGGAGTACTTCGGGAAGATGCTGGCTGAGGCCACCGTGGCAGAGCTCAAGGAGGAGCTCAGGTGGCGGAAGCTGCCAGTGAGCGGCTTGAAGGCGGACCTCATCGTCCGTCTGTCGAGGGACGGCGGCCAGCACATGGCCAGCAGTGAGGGGCTGGCTGCAGCGGCGTGGGCCGCGCGGCTGGTTCCAGGCAGGGTGCCTATCCGAGCGTTTCGCTCGGATGCGAGTCTAGGCTCGCACCTAGGCGCGCTTCTCAGCAGCACGGGGTAGGTCCGAGCCGAATGCAAGACCCTTTGAGGGCCACCCAAGACGGGTGAGGGCGCGGCCAGAGGCCGCTCCTTTGAGCCGAGGGCGCGCGTCGGGCGCGGGCGCGCGGGAGCCACGGCGGGGACGCCCGCTTTGGCTTGAGCTTGAGCCTTCAGATGGAGGCTCGAGCTGCAGTACAGAGAAGATGCAAGGCGATGCGCTCGCCTGCATCTTGGAGGCGTGTTGACTGTACATGCTAATCTGTAGCCCCTTGGTCCAAGTAAAAACCATCAACAAAACAGGCTCCCGCCAGATGTTTCTTCGCAATGTATTCCCAGATTGCGTCTTCGCGGGGGACTTCCTCATAAGATATGCAGGGGTCGCGAGCTCGCGTGTGATTTTCCAATACTTTATTCAAACGCCGCGCCCTCGTCAGAAACCACGCTCTCGCTTTGGCCTCTCACGATTAGCTTGGGAATCCCGCTATCGTTCGAATTTTCTTCGCGATTCACGCAAGACTCACGCTTTGGCAACCCGCCTTCTCGACCTGGCCGCCTGGGCCCGCTTTCCCGCCCCGCCTTCTAGGGTCTGCCCGCCCGATCTGCCCGTCTGGTTCTGCGTCGTCTTTTCTGCTCTTAGCCCCCTTCCTTCTAATCCCGTGCTCTATCCTTCGCTCTCCCCCTCATCCATGCGTCCTTTCGCCTCTTTTTTCAGGGACTGCGCCAATTACGCGCGGCAGGTAAGGATGATATACCCCCATGGGGGGGGTACGACAGAAGACGAAGAGGGCGGGTACCAAACATTTGGGATATACGTGTTGAATGGCATGCGAGCAGGTAGGAGCGAACAGTCCAGCCTGCGACGAATGGCCTACGCCGGGGCATATTGTGTTTTTCAATTCAAGTGCCCTTCCCGGGGCTTGCACCCAGTTTTTATCAGGGGAAGTTTTGGGTCTCAAAATTGTGTTGTTGGGCCCTGGTTTACAACAACAGCGGCTCCCGCCTGATACTTCCTTTCGATTTATTCCCAAATTGCGCGTTCGCGCGAGACTTCCCTGTAACTTCTGCAGAGATCGCGCTCTCGCGTGGAACTTGCTTTCAATTTAATCAGACGCTGCGCCCTCGACATTGCGCTGTCGCCTTAAACTTCTTCGCGGTTCATGCCAGACGCACGCTTCAGCAACCCGTCTGCTCGATGTGGCCGCCAGGGCCCACCTTCCCGACCCGCCTGTTAGGTGTCCCGCCCAAGCTGCTTGTCTCGTTCTGCCACGTGTTTTCTGATCTTAGTCCCTTTCCTGCTACTCTCTCTCGTGTGCCATCCTCCTGCCCCTTGTCCTTTCCCTCCATCCGTCCTTTCTTCCCCTGCCTTAGGGGCTCCGCGAAATTCATGTTGACGGTAAGAAAGATATACCCTCAAGGGGGTACCATCTAAGACGGAAGGTGCGGGTATCGAGACTTTGGGATATACGTGTTGAGTGGCACGTGATCAGGTAAGAGCGAACAGTCTTACATTGACTGTTGTTGTTGTTGTTGTTGAACATTATTACTTCTAAAAAATAATTATTGTTGGGGCCCCTGGTGCACGACCCCCCCGCCGCGCCTAGGCCGCAGCCTCATTTTCATCATTTTCGTGAGGAAGTCTCAGGCAAAACGGGTTGGTCCGGATCCGGTTGTGTTGTTACGATCGGTTTTCCCTTGCAAAAAATAAGCTAAAGTGGACATTTCTTGTTCTAACATAACCAAACTTCAAGAATCCCTTGCAAAAAATAAGGTAAAGTGGACATTCGCGCGCGCAAGACGAAATCCTTCCAAAACCTTAGTTTTCGTAGCGATTTTAACATAAAAACATCAAAAAAACCAATGGTTTTTCAAAAAAAAATGTCAAAATTTCATCCCGCGCGCTCTTGCGGATTCGTAGGAAACCCAACACTTTTTAAACATTTCTGTCAAACGGGCTTTTGCGAGCAACTTTTTCGAACTTCTGCAACAACGGTTGCGCACCTGCCAGGGCCATCATCCCTGTCAAATAATACCATGCGGGACACATTCGTTTTTTCTTCGCGCGCGCACGCCGTCGTCGTCGGCCGCGGGGCCCTGAATAGTAGCCACGGTCGTCCGCATGCCACGAAGTGAAGTGTCCGAACGTCATAGGGCGGGAAGCTGGGTGTGGGTGGTGGCGAAGAGTCGTTTGGAAATTTGGTAGAGCTTGAACCGGCCCCCCCACAAAGTGGGGGTATTGCCCGCCTCCTATGAAAACCCTGGCACTGGTGAGAACGGTGTGTCCCCACGTGCTAGTAATTGTTGTTATTGTTGTTGTTGTTGTTGTTGTTGCTGCTTTTGTTGTTGTTGTTGTTGTTGTTGTCGTCGTTGGCGTCGCCGTTGTTGTCGTCGTCGTCGTCGGCGTCCTCTTCCTCCTATTCCTTGGCCAGCTCTGGCATCGCGGAGACCTCTTCCTTAGGAGTTCGATCATGGACCCTTTGCTGAGCATAAACGTCCAGCTATTGCGCCGAAGGCCGCCAGAACCACCGACGACCGCGATAACCGCCGCAGACCACCGACCATCGCTGAAGACGGTCTGAGTACCGCCGAAGACCGCGCTATGCCGATGGGTAACAAGGGTCCATCTCTGCCACGCGCAGAGGGAGGTAGGGGGAGGGGGGAAGGCTTCTTAGAAGCACCCCTGCTTCTGTGAAGGCGTGGGCCCTGTCTGCAAGCGTACAGCCGGCGCCTTCTAAGGAGCAGCCTCCTTCTAAGAAGCCTTCCCCCCTCCCCCTACCCCCTTGTGCGCGCCGCCGACCATTGTCGAACACTTCGCCGTACCGTGCTCGAAATTATGTCTGGGACGTGGTCCTTGTAAGTACGATGGGAGCAATCGTAAAACAAGGGATCCGCTGTCGAACATCTAGCCTTCCCGTCGCCTGGGGATCTCTCCGCTCTCACCCCCCCCCGGGGGCCTCCCCCCCCGTAGACGGGCTAACGGCGAGGTAGGTACCGGCGGTGTAGATTTCGGCAGCGTGGGCACGCGTGGCTCGCGCCTTCCTACAATTCGCTGCGTCGTGTTCGCTCGATCCCTTCGCAGACTGGCAACGCAGGGACGTGCGGCTCGCGGTTTCCCACAGCTTGGCTCCCAACATCACCGCTGGGCGACATCGCCGTGAGCCTGGCCTTGGTCCCCTCCGCACCCCGCCGCCGCCTGCCCCCTCCCCCCCCGCCGCCGCCCACCCCCCGCGGGCAGGGCGACGGCGGCGGCAGCACCCCCAGCACGGTGGGAGATGCCGAGTTCGAGTCGCTCGCCGGGCGCGGGCGACTCGCGAAGGCCGCGCGCGCCGCGCGGCCGACGACGCAGACGTGAGAGTGACCCGCTAGGCCTCCCGCATAGGGTCGGAGTAGGCGGGGTCGGAGGATCGCGGCGCACGGCCGATGCAACGGCGATGCGGCTCGATGTAAAGCCCGACTTGCTCCACGTCGACGTCGGCGGTGCATCGGCGATGTCGACGTTGCATCACCGGTGCATCACCGATGCATTGCCGATGCGGCGGGATCCTCTGACCACATCTGCTCCGACCCTATCTAGGATGCTTCTAGACCCTTCGCCAGAGAGACCGTTGGTCGGCGTCACCCCAACATATTAATACTTCGCGTGCGTCGCACCCCCCTCCCCCCCCCCAGGGGCGACGCGTGCACCGAGAAGTCTTATAGTATATGCGTCATGGCCGGCGCTTTCTGGCCACACCGCTCTGGAAACGATCTACTACAGGATGGGTATATTGTATGTTCTGGTCGGACGCGCGCCTCCAAGGAGGACATATAGTACTAGCATGTCTTTGTGCGTCCCATTTGGTGCGGGCCCACTGGCGTCCCCCGATCGCCGAACGCGATGCGATGGTCGTGTCTTCCGCGCTGGGTGGTGTCCCCGAAAAGCTTCCCCCGACGGCCGCGCACTGAGAGGTCACTCTTGCCCAGGGTCATAGCCGCATGTAGCTGGCGTGGGCGAGGGAGGGCTTCGGCAGCAAGTCATGGGATCCTCGCATGTCCTCATAACGCGCCGATGGGGCGTCGACTTGGCGACGATCAGCGTCGACCAGCGTCGACTGGCGTCGATCAGCGTCGACACGCAGGAGCCTGCAAGACGGCGCGGGAGGCCCCCACGAGCTGCCACCGAAGGGAGGGGCACGACCCGCCGCGGCGGCCTCCTGCCGGCGAGGCCCGGAGGCGCTTTTGGGGGGCGCCCCCGCCCGTTCCCCGGGAGGTCTCTTGCCGGTCGGGGCGACGAGGCCTTCGACTACACGTCAGAGTGACCTTTCGCCGGAGTGACCTTTGGTGCGGGCTCATCGGGCTCCCCCCGATCGCCGAGCGCGATGCGATAGAAGCGGCCCGCGCCCTTGGGTTTGGCTCCCTCGCGCCCCCGAAAGCTGCGCACCAGAGGTCACTCTTACCCAGGGTCACTCTTACGCCTCGCCGAGGCCTGGGCGACGAGGCCTGTACATGTCCATCCAGGGCTCGTTTCGACTCCTCCGATCCGTCGATTCGATTCGACTTCGATGGCCTCTGATTCGGATTCGATTCGGCTTCGGATTCCGATGTGGATTCGATCTCTTGATGGAGGCCGGACAGCCTGCCGATTTCCGCCGATGTCCACCACCGCCAGCCATGCCCATGTTTTCGGCTACGCGTAGGAGTGACCTTTTGCCGGAGTGACCTATGAGTGCGAGAACACCGTGGTCCCCAGAGGACGGAGCGCGATGCGGCGGCATCGTCTTGAGCGCCCCGGTTTGGCCTCCCCACTGTCTCCGAAAAGTCGCGCACCAAAGGTCCTCCTTGTTTTTTGTTGGATGATTTCGGGGTGCGCGCGCGACGACGCGCGCGTGTGTGCACTTCGTTTTTTTTGCAATGGTTCCTTGAAGAGAGATCTTTGATATATGCTGTGCGATCTATGTTGTGCGATGTGTGTTGTGCTATCAATGTCGTGCAATCTATGTGGTGCAAAAATTGTGGTGCTATCTACGTGGTGTAGTATGCGTTGCAATGTATGCTTTGCGATCCATGTTTTGCGATCTATGTTTCGCAATACATGGTGCGCGATTTATGCTTGCGATCTGCATGGTGCTGCAATTTACGTGGTCCAATCTATGTAAAACAATGCGCAGTCACGCAAAGCAGGTGGGTGGAGGGGAGAAGGGGTGCAAAGCACAGCAATCCTGAGCACGGCGTAACACTGCAAAATAAGGCAGGGCAATGCATAATTCGGCGCAGCAGTGCAAAGTAATGAAAGGAATGCCAGACGACGGGCGGCTACGAGGCGGCGACGGCGGTTACATGGCCGCCAGACCGACACACGGGCCCGGACGACAGGCGGCGACGAGGCGCGACGGGGCTGCGACGGGTGAACATCGCCACCAGACCGACATACCAGCCCAAGTCCCGATTCCACAACTAAAAACCTCTAAGAGCAAGCACTGTGCCGCCAGGTTGCGCCACATCTGCCAGCAGGCGCGTCAAACAGTGAACCTTGGACACTCCCATGGGCGCATGTGCAGGTGATGTTTTGGGCGAACGTGTGCAAGCACTGCTGAATGCTGGGCCCTATCGCCCTGTGAAGTATTGTGCATCACACGGCGAACCACGATGAGGAAGACGATTATACCTGCAGCATTCTGCAGCATCCTTGCATACGTTGCGTGTCATGCCCGGTGTCTCTGCCTTTTTTTTCTTTGCATTTTTTTTCGTTTTTTTTGTTTTTGTTTTTGTTTTTTTCTTTTTCTGTTTTCGCCCACGCGCTTCGGCGTATGGCTGAGCGCAGCGTAGTGCAGCACAGCGTAGCTGAGTGCCGGCAGGGGCGCCAGGGCAGGAGACCTCCCGCCAGGCCCTCGCGGGGCTTCCGGGCCCTTCCGGCCTGTCGGGGCCGGGGCCGCGGGGCCTCCGCGGGCGAAGGCTTCTCGCCGGCTGTGCGGGCGGCCTCGAGGCACGGTGCCTGGACGCGCGAGCAGTCGAGGTGCTTTGGAGGTGTCGGGTTTCGCCGGGACGAGCTTCGAGGCACGTGCTCGGACGAGTGCTCGGACGTGCTGGAGGTATGCCTGGCATCGCTCGGACGTGTGCGTTTTTTCCTCGGCGAGGACCATCGAGGAGCATTCTTGACCATTTGCCGAAAAAAGCCACGCACGAAACCTAACAAAAACACAGGGAATGGACGTCCGAGCCATGGCGAGTATGCGCTCTCGGATGTGTGTCGAGGCGTGCGCCTGGGCGAGCTTCGCCAGAACCCGTGATCGAGGCACGTGCTTGGGCGGGCGAGCGCGTGGCCTCGTGGCGGTTCCTCGCTGTGCACGTGCTCCGCCACGTGCGTGCAAGGACTTCACGCTCTGAGAACCCCTCCCCACCCCCCCGCGCGCTCCTCCTCTCTCCGCCTGCTGTGCCCACTTCGGCCCCGTTGCATCCACTGCCCCCGAAGTTGGTGAGGACGTTCGCTGCTGCGACGAAGGAGTGCATGCCTCACGCGGTCTCTTATGCTCAGACTCTGACTGTCCACCGCGTCGGGAACCGATGCCCTCGGATGCCGCCAGTCGAGGAGGAGGATGTGGAGGAGGAGGAGGAGGAGGAGGAGGAGGAGGAGGGATTGGGTGCAGAGCTAGCAAGGAGGATGAGGAGGAGGAAGGAGGAGGGAGGAGGAGGAGGAGGAGGAGAGGGAGGAGGAGGAGGAGGAGGAGGAGGAGGGGAGGAGGAGGAGGGGAGGAGGAGGAGGAGGAGGAGGAGGAGGAGGAGGGAGGAAGCTGCTGCGACGAAGCAGTGCTTAGGCCTGTGAGCGCATGGCCTCGTGGTGGGCGCCAGCCGGTCTTTGTCTTTGGTTGGCCCTCGGGCCGTCAGCAGCACCAGCGGCGCCGCAGAGGTGCCGACTCTGCCGACGGAGCTGCCCTCCGTAGAGTTTTTTTCGGCAGACATTCCTGCCCGCAAAGAGCCTCGTCGTCTACAAGGAGGTGTCTCCGACTGGGTGTGGCTCGGCTTCGCGCTTGGCCCGCGGGGTAACTAACCTTGCCATCGTATTGATATCAGCAGTCCAGGGCTCGTTTCGATGTCTCCGATTCGATTCGATTCCGATGGCTTCAGGTTTCGATTCGATTCGACCTGTGATTCCGATTCGGGCTCCGACTTCTCAACGGAGGCTTAGTAGCCTGCCGATTTCTGCCGACTCGACTTCTCCCGACTCGGCTGCCGATTTCCGCTGGTCCGATTCATTTTGATTGCAGATCCGACTTGTCGATTCGATTTTGGGATCTCCTGACAGTCCAGTGTAGTTTTGCCGTTGGTGAACATTATGGCCGAGGATCGACACCAACAGTCTTGCAAATTTCTGCCTCTGGCACTGGCTATGGCACGCGGTAAGGACCTTTGCCCACCACTCCTGCTCCCGCTCCCGCTCCCGCTCCCCCTCCCCTCCCCTCCCCTCCCCCTCTCGCGCTCCCCCTCCCGCTCCCGCTCCCCCTCCCCCCCCCCCTCCCCTCCTCCCCTCCCGCTCCCGCTCCCTCCCTCCCCCCCTCCTCCCTCCCCTCCCCCCTCCCCTCCCCCTGCCGCTCCCCTCCCCCTCCCCGCTCCCGCTCCCCCTCCCCCCCCCCTCCCCCCCTTCTCCTCCCTTCCCCTCCTGGCCCCTGCGAGCCACCCCGTGGAGAGAGGGGGGCCGGTGCTCTGGGGGAGGGGGGCGCCCCTCCGCGAGATCGAGTCGGGCTCGTGCCTGGTGCAGATGGTGGGGGCGAGCTCGGACTCCGAGGGGAAGCTCGACTCACCAGGCAGGCTCCGCCTCGCTCTGCCCCCCCCCTGGCCTCGCTCTGCCCCCTCCCCCCCCCCTGCTCCTTCGGCAGCAAGTCATGGGAGCCTGGGGTATGCCGTCGTAACTCCGTCTCTGGCGTCCATCGGCGTCGAGCAGCGTCTGGGCATCGATGCGAGGGTGCCGCTTGAGCGTCGGTGGTTAGCGTCGACCGGCATCGATTCAGCGTCGACTGGCATCGGTGTAGCGTCGAGCAGCGTCGAGTCGCAGGAGCCGACAAGATTCAGGAGGGAAAGAAACACACAGACACAATGAATCGTCCATTCCCGAGAAAATATGGGAAAATGTGGGAAGTGTGGGGGGGGAAGACAACAACCCAGAACGTATGGGAAAATATGAGGAATCCTTTTATTTGTGTGTATTTATTTGTGTGTCCCGGGGCCCCTTCAATTTCGGGGCACACAGGAGGCTCACGGTGCGAGCTCCGTGCGAAGCACGGGGTCGAGAGCCCCCGGGGGGGGCCTGCCGGGCGTGGTGGGGAGATCTTGCGAGCTTGGCCGGCTCGGCGGTGTCAGAAGCCAGGGCACACCGCGTCACGGCGGGAGCCTGCCGTGCCCCCCCCCCCGCGCGCATTTTGTGGCGCCAGCGGAAAAAGCGGCGGCAGCGATCCAGTCTCATCTTGGATGCGCTCCCAGCCTGAGTGGCCCCAGTCGCACATTTGCGTCACCATGCTTTGAGGCTCAGCAGCTTCCCCGACTCGAAACACAGTTCTGCGATGTGACACTGCAGCATGGGCACAGCATGCATGGGCGTGTGAGGCGCCACCTGGCTTCCTCTTGGCCATTTACGCATTCAACCGGCAGACACATATCGAAGACGCCTACGGCGAACCACCGCCGCCCCCTGTTTCTTTGCAAACGCCTATTTGGCCAAACGTTGTGGCCAGAGCTCGGCCAAACTATCGGACCATGTGTTCCCCCAGCCGTTGTGGAAACCCTTCGTGGAACACATGGAGGAGAAAGAGAAGAGGAGGAGAGGGAGCAAAAAGGAGAAGGAGGAGAAGAATGAGGAGTCCTCTTTGGAGCTTCTTGGGGCAATCTTGGAACCTTCTGGGAGCTTCCTGGATGCTTCTTGGAGGCCTCTTGGGGGCCTCCATGGGCCTCTTGGGGGCATTCTTGAGGTCCTCTTTGGCCGTCTTAGGGCGTTCTTAGCCCATCGGAGGCCGTCGGAAACCGTCTCGGGAGCCTCTCTAAACCGACTGGGGGCCCTGTTGGGGCGCTTCTGGGCTGTCTTGGAAACCTTTCGGGCCGTCTTGGGGCCCTCTTGGGGCCGTCTTGAGAGCCTCTTGGGCCGTCATGGCATCTTGGAGGTCTCTGGGGCGCTCTTGGGGCGATCTCGGGGGCCTCTAGGTTCGTCTTGGACCGTCGGAAGGTGCCAAACCAAGATCTTTCAAGCACCCGCGGAAAATCAAGGACTTTGGCTTCTTCGGGCCTTCTGGAGGACCTCTTGGAGGCCTCTTGGCCTGTCTTGGCAGCCTCTTGGGGGCCGTCTTGGGCCGTCCGGAGGTCATCTTCGGCTGTCTTGAATGCATATTGGGCCGTCTTGGATGCCCTGTTCGTGTGCTGCTATGCATGCAACCGTCGAAGCTTTGCTGCGCCGTTGGGGGGGCCAGCGGGATGACGTCCCGCGCAGATCAAAGTACCTCCTTCGCCCTCACTGGATGTGCCATACATGCACCTACCGCGGCTCTCCTGCACCCCCAGGGGGTCACCAGGGTGGCGGCTTCCGCATGTCAATGTATCCCATTCGCCTCTCCTGGGTCCTGCAGTACAATAACAGTTGCCCGAGGAAATCCAGCGGGGCGCGGACACACTTTTTCCGTCGCAGCACGGCAGAGGCAATCCGCGAGGGCGCTCGCAGTAGTCGGGGACACACGACAAGCGAGTTGTCTGGATGCAGGAGGGTGGGCGCGGAAGGCAGATGGAGCAGACGGAAGATTGGAAACTATTGTACCAGAGATTCTTCAACAACACTAAGCAGGACCGCTGACCGGACCTGATGCTCCGAGGCTCCTGCGCTCCGGCGCCGCACCCGCAGCACCCCAGACGGTGTCCGTGTGCAGGCGGGCTTCGTGCTCCGTGCAGGAGAGGGGAGGCGGGAGGGCAGGGCGGCCGCGGACGGAGCAGGGGGGAGGGAGGGCACCCACGAGCGAGGCACCAGGAGGCCCGCACAATACAAACGGATTCCTATTCAGAGCATATACAAGAGGATTCTGATTGGAAGCCTCTACAATAGGATTCCTAGTGAGAGCGTTTGCAGATGAATTCTAATGACGCCCGTTGCAGTCGGTTTCCTGTTGGAAACTAAAACACAAGGCTTCCTATTGAGAGCATATGCAAGAGGATTCTGATTGGAAGCCTCTACAATAGGATTCCTAATGAAAGCGTTCACAAAAGGATTCTAATGACACCCGTTGCAACCGGCTTCCTATGGGGCTGGGGCTGCGGCCCCATAGGAAGCCGGCTGGGGCTGCGGTGCCGGGGCACTGGACGCGGTGATGGGCAGGTTCTCCACCACCACTGCCACGTGTAGGACGGGGGAGAAGGGAGGATGGGGAGGTCCTCCTCCTCCTCCTTCTACTCCTCCTCCTCCTCCTCCTGCTCCTCCTCCTCCTCCTCCTCCTCCTCCTCCTCTTCCTCCTCCTCCTCCTCCTCCTCCTCCTCCTCCCTCTCCCCCTCCCTCTCCTGTCTATGGTAGTGGTGGTGCAAGGTGGGCCCATCACGCGGGACGGCATCGTGGCCACACCCTAGGACTTCAACCAGGGCTGCAGGCGGTGAGAGCGCGGGGAGCAAGGCGTTAGCAGCCCGCCAGTACAGAAGCGAGTGGTACATCCGGTGGTTCGTCACGTGGCTGAGCTGCGTCAGGCTTTGCTGCACCGGGCCGTCGTCTGCTGGATGTGAGGCCAGGGCCTGGTCCCAGCGGCAGCGCATGGCGTCTGCGCGGGGCTGCGCCGATGCGGGCGCGGGAGGGGTGGGGGCAAGCAGTCACCGCCCACCAAGCCACCCCAACCCAACCCGAAGGCCCCGATTTGCTTTCTATTTCCAACAGTGGGGGGGGGGTCGGGGAACATCGAAAAAACATGTACGAAGCCCGTACTTCCCCCAACCCGAAATTCGGGTCTTCGGGTTGGGTTGGGGTGGTCTGGTAGGTAGTCAAGAAGGCGCGCCCCGCTCCGCGATCTGCCTCCCGCAACACGTCACTTCCGGAGGACGTGGACTCCTCTCGCCTCGCGGGGTGTGCGTCCGGAGCACGTGCAGTCCAGTCGTTGTCGGGCCTCTGGGAATTTCTTGGCGGCCCCTTGGAGGCCTCTTTGGGGCCTCTTGGGTCCTCGCGGGGGCGTCTGGGAGGCCTCTTGGGGGCCTCTGGGAGGCCTTTTGGGGGCCTCTCGGAGCCCCGTGTGGGCGTCTTGGGGGCGCTCTTGCGCTGTCTGGTCCCTTCGGAGACTGTCTTGGGGTACTCTTGGGCCGTCTTGGGGACCTCTTGGGTTGTCTCGGTGGCCTCTTTGGGCTGCCTGGGGGCCCTCTTGGGCCGTTTTGGAGCCCTCTTGAGGGCTTCTTGGGCCGTCTGGGGGCCACTTCGGAGGCTGTTTAGGCCGTCCTGGACCTCTGAGAGTCGAAATAGGCGGGAACGCTGGGATCTTCCAAAAACCACTGGAACATCAATGGTTTTTGACTTCTGGAGGTGCTCTTGGGTGTCTTCTCGGGGCCCTCTTGGGGCGTCTTGGGGTTTTTGTAGGCCCTCTTGGGGCCATCTTGGGCCGTCTTGGGGCCGTCTTGGGGCGTCTTCGGGCCATCTCGAGCAGTCTTGAGGCCCTGTTGGGCCCCCAAGAGGGCCAACAGGCCCAACTCATTGATTTTCTATAGGTTTTGGTAGGTTTTTAGGCCCAGGAGGGGAGGGGCCACCTTGGGTCGGTGGAAGTGGCGTGGCCTCGAGGGGGGGCGGGTAGGGGGGAGACATAATAATTGAACGCAACGCAATATGCAGCAATTGTGCAGTCATTGGATACATTGGATACGTTGCATTATCGCCTCTGCAGACCTGCCTCCGGCTACTCGCCACCTCGGGACGTGGATTCATCAAGCTTGCGCCATATGCGTCGACCCTTCCATGAAACCCGCAGAATTGGAGTTACGGGGGGCCCCAATGAGGACCCGAAACGTACGCGTGGCGTGGTGATGGGGAGCGTATTAGGCCGTTTCGGAGGCGAGTTAGGACTCTTCGGGTACACGTGCGGCACGCCGCGCGTGAGTGGTTTTCCAAGTTGAGCCTCTGTTTAGCCGTCTCGGACGCCATCTGCGAGTTTCCAAAGATCCATGGGGCACGACGAGGGCAGATAAAGGTGTCTAGCCGTCAGGTACATAATGGGGATTGCTGGTGCATGCTGAAAGCCTCGGGGGAGGGTGCCTTTTGGGAGCCTGTGCAGGCCTCCCAGCAAATTATCAACCGATTCTGCTTTTCATTGTTCGTTGCGTCGTAGGGCTAGTAAGACCCAGCGTAGTTGTCGCCATAGTGGTGAATAGGGCGGGTGCAGTGACGGCGACGCTTTGCCGATGATGAGGATGACGGCGGGGATGCCAGAAGTGCAGATGTCGCCAGGAGTGGTATGTTCTTGGGCAGGACACTCGCCTTCGCACGGCGCGGAACGCGCGGGGACTTGCGACAGCCGCCAGGAACCCGGCGGGACTTCCGGGACATTCCAGTAGCAGTTCGTCGGGGAGCTCCGAGCTAGAACCACAGCTCCTGGAAGCTGCTCGCTTCGGAAGAAGCCCTCGGGGGGGGACTATGGGCGTGTGTGTGTGTGTGTGTGTGTGTGTGTGTGTGTGTGTGTGTGAGCACCATGGCCAGGGCCATGAAATCTCTTCGGACCTCGCGCCGGGCTCGTGGCTCTGGTCGCGGTCGAGGCGTCGGCCCCTGGGCAGTGCCAGGCAAGGCCGCCTCGGGAGCTCCTCCCCCAGCTTTGAAGTCGACCATGAACCTCTGCAGGAGGGGGGAAGACAAAAACTGGGGACGATGTTTTACTATTCTTGCAATGTTTGGCTCCCTCTTCTTTCGCAAGGGCTCCCTCGAGGGCGCGAAGTTATTCGCGCTTCGCGCTTCGCGGTCCTCGTTCCTTCTCCCCCTCCTCCTCGTCCTCCTATTCTCCTTCTGGGAGGGCGGCGCGAGAGCGCGAAGTTATTCGCGCTTCGCGCTTCGCGCAGCGCGAAGCGCGAAGTTGGGAGCCCTTGCTTTCGGTGCGTCCCTTGGCCCCCACCCGTCGTCCCTGCGCGCGCCTCGGGCCACGACTGCCGTCGATCCCCCCCTCGTGGATGCTCCGCCTCGGGACACGGACGCCCCCCCGAGGGGTGCCCCGCTCCTGGATGCCCCGCTCCTGGGTGCCCCGCTCCTGGGTGCCCCCCGAGTCAGAGGCCAGCAACATATGTACACGTACGCGGTTAGTTTCCCCTGGAGTGCGTGTCGACGCGGGCGTTCGTGCAGGCAAGACCGCGGAGGGCGTACATGTACATATGTCGTTGCTCGCCCACTGAGGGGTGCCCCGCTCCTGGATGCCCCGCTCCTGGATGCCCCGCTCCTGGATGCCCCGCTGGGGGGCCGAACGGGCTTGCAGTGCCGGCTTGAACGCATGCTCCGCGTGCGGATCATGTACCAAAAATGCAGGCATTCGGCATCAAAAACAACGATGAGCTCTTGCTAGATATGTATTCGTACATTAATCATGTATTAAGAATCCCATATATATTTATATATCTATATATATTTATATCTATTTATTTAATCCTATGTATGAAGCGCTGCCCTGTACGCCGTCCCTGGGCGCGTGGGCGAAATATTCGGCGGCGGGCCCCTGGGCAGAAAGCGAGAGGGGGGCAGGCCTTCACGGAAGGCGGCGGGGCTCCTCGGAGACCCTCCGGCCTCTCAGCGGCCCTCGGTCCTTCAGATAAGACGCTTACACCCCTCAGTGCTTCGAGTGCTTCGTGTGGCGTTTGGCCACACCTTTGCGCCTCGAGCGTCTCGAGTGACGTTTGGTCACTTGTATTTTTCCTGCCAGCGCGTCCACCTGGACGCAAGGCTTCTGTCTGTCTGTCTGTCTGTCTGTCTGTCTGTCTGTCTGTCTGTCTGTCTGTCTGTCTGTCTGTCTGTCTGTCTGTCTGTCTTCCAAGTCTATAATGTGTCTCAGAAGGCCCGAGGCTTCCCGAGCCTTCTGAGAAGGTTCGCCGCCGAGAAGCGGCCTTCTGTGGCCCCAGTGTTGCTTGCTTGTATTTGTGTGTGGTGGTCGTCCTCGTCCCCCCGCACCGCGACCACCCCGCGACCCGCAACGCGACCCACCCCGCGATCCACCCAGCGACCCGCCCGCGACCCACCCCGCGACCCACCCCGCGACCCACCCGCGACCCACGCCACGTTCGTCCCCTACTCTTAATTACCTGCAGTCGCGAGGAACTGCGTATTGTGTCGGTCACACCTCTTGTTCCATGATGCGAGCGCCCCAGGGCCTGACGATTAGCATCTTCGTCGGAGTGTTTGTTGGGGCGGGCCGCATTCACAGGTCCAGGCAGCGTTGCCATGGCGTCGGATTTTCATTGTGCCACTTGTCACACCTCCCACGCAAGTGGCATATGAAAACCGCATCGGATCTTCAGTATGGCAGGGGCACCCTATTGTTACCATTCCAGGCTTGCAGAGTCCAGAAAAGTGTAGCAACGGTGCAGGGGTCCCACTATCCCAAGCCCCGCAGGTCTACCACATGTGTTGGGGGCTGTATGAGTCCCACTGTCTCAAATCTCCCAGTCCCAACCCCCGCCCAACGTGAACCCAACTTGTTGGGGCTTGCAACCGCGACGCTGGAGCTTTATCATCATCATCATCATCATCATCATCATCATCATCATAATCATAATCATCATTTTCATCATCATCATCGTCGTCGTCGTCTTTATCATCATCATCGTCATCATCATCATCACTATCACCATCACCATCACCATCATCATCGTCATCATCATCATCGTCATTATCACCATCATCACCATCACCATCATCATTGTCACCATCACCATCACCATCACCATCACCATCACCATCACCATCACCATCACCATCACCATCACCATCACCATCATCATCATCATCAGCCTCATCATGATGACCATCAGCAGCATCAATCAGCATCAGCAGTACTATCATCATCAGCATCATCATCATCGTCATCATCATCACCACTATCATCACTCTCAATATCATCATCATCGGCATCATCATCATCACCATCATCATCACCAACATCATCATCATCATCATCATCATCATTATCACCATCATCACCATCACCATCATCATCGTCACCATCACCATCACCATCATCATCATCATCATCAGCCTCATCATCATCATCATCATTTTCACCAGCCTTATCATCATGACCATCAACAGCATCAATCAGCATCAGCAGTACTATCATCAGCATCATCATCATCGTCATCATCATCACCATCATCATTATCATCATCATCACCATCACCATCGTCGTCGTCATTATTATCATTATCGTCATCATCATCAACACCATTACCATCATCATTATCATCATCTTTCCCAATATCACCCATCACGGTATCATCAACGTCACCATCACCATCACCATCACCATCACCATCATCATCATCATCATCATCATCATCATCATCATCACTCTCAATCTCATCATCATCGGCATCATCATCACCACCATTATCATTACCAACATCATCATCATCATCATCATCATCATCATCATCACCATTCTCACCATCATCACCATCACCATCATCATCGTCACCATTACCATCACCATCACCATCATCATCATCAGCCTCATCATCATGACCATCAGCAGCATCAATCAGCATCAGCAGTACAATTATCATCAGCATCATCATCATCATCATCACCACCATCATCATCAGCATCGTCATCATCGTCAGCATAACCATCATCATCGGCATCATCAGCATCAGCATCGTCATCATCATCATCAGCATCGTCATTATCATCACCACCATCATCATCATAATCATCATCGTCATTTTCATTATCATTATCATTATCATTCTCATTATTATTATTGTTGTTGTTGTTGTTCTTGTTGTTGTTGTTGTGGTTGTTGTTGTTGTTATTGTTGTTGTTGTTGTTGTTGTTGTTGTTGTTGTTGTTGTTGTTGTTGTTATTATTATTATTATTATTATTTTTATTATCATTATCATTGTCAGTATCATTGTCAGTATCATTATCATCATCATCATCGTCATTACCATGCTATGAATGTGGGGGTGGTGTTAGCGAAGGACTGCCACCTCTGACGGTGTGCTGTTAGGTCGTGGGGTTTGACTTTAGGAAGATCCCGCGCGACAGCCCAGAGTCATTCGAACATGCCGCAACGCGCCAGGGAGCGCGGTATCGACTCAGGGGCTTTTCCATCATGCTTCGCGATTTTTCAAAATACCCGCTCGTTGCAGTCCGCGACACGCACACCACTGGGACGAACGATGCAGCGCACAAAACGGAAGCGGGCAGGCATCATGGCACCAGGAGGACGAGGGAGGAGGGGGGCACTGGGAGCAGGGCAGCTTCACAGATGCACCTCGTTTCCTCCCCCCCTCAATCCTCCCAGGATGTTGGACAGCAAGTCAGAGGAGGAGAGGGGAAGAAGGAGGAGTGAAGCGATTCTGCGAAACTGTGGGACGAGCGAAGGGGGATGCGGGGAGCAACCTTGCTGGTCAGGTCGCCGCTGGTGCGACGAGATGCCGACCTCCGAGGAGGAGGCTTGCAGTGGGGGGCCACGGACGTCGTCGCCACCGCCGCTGCCGTCGCCGCCGTCGTCTTCGTCGGCGGCATTCGACTGGATTTTCCCAGGACGTTGGGCGTTCCCTCCGCCTGTGTCTAAGCGAGGCGTCGGCGGGCTTTTTGTCCTTTTCAGGCTATCGATCGGCCGCGAGATCCCGGATTCTCTGTACCCCCCCGTCTGCTTGTTGGTGCTGGGGCACGTGCTCGGCGGTTGTGGGCCCCTTGAGCGGCTGTTGAGTCTTGCACTTCGAGCCTATTCGATTTTGAGTCTCTATTGATCTCCGGGGCCATTCGGACGCCTGCGTGGCTCCACCGTGTGTGGCTGCGTGGGTATCCAGAGGTCGCAGGGCCTGACCGGCTGTATGGCGCCCCCCCCCCTTTGTCTTTCGTTCGGACGAGGGCGCAGTGGCTGAAGCGGGCATCACTACCCTGCTCGCGCCTGGTTCGGGACCACAGACATGCTGGCAAGGAAAAGGGAAAGGCTGGCCCTTTACGGTAGGCTCGCGCCGCCTTGACGCGACGGCGTCCCCAGCGCTGGCGTTCAGGGCCGAATGCCGCCAGTGCCCCAGAATCGGCTGGTATCGCACGCCCCGCGCCATCGGAAAGCCGCGATCGATCCAGATCGAACGATCCAAGCGATGTCAGAAGTCAACGCCGACGCCATCGCGATGTCCACCCCCGCAACACCCCAAACAAAGAAACAAGTGGAGCGAGAGAGGATTGAAGCTCGTTTCCTGGTCTCGGAGCTTACTCACTGGTTGAGTAGCGAGTCCAACCTTCAGGCCTGCTCAGCTGGAAGCTCGAGCCTAACTTGACTACGGAAGTCTGCAGCAGCAGCAGCATCCCCCATGAGGAACATCCTGGAGGCCTCGCGCGGCACGCAACAGCTGTATGATCGAAGACGCCTACTGCGAATCACCGCCACCCCCTGACTTTACTTTTAGAAACGCCCATGCGGCCAAACGTTGGGCCGAAGTCAGGCCAAGCTATCGGACTACGCGCTCCTCCAGCCGTTGTGGTACCCCTTGGCGGAACACTCTGGACAGGGACAATTCAGGAGGAGGAGGAGGAGGAGGAGGAGAAGGAGGAGAAGGAGGAGGAGGAGGAGGAGGAGGAGGAGGAGGGGGAGTGGGAGGGGGAGGAGGCGGAAAAGCGGGCGGAGAAGGCGGATGAAGAAAAAGAGGAGGTCTCTAAAGGCCCTCGTGGGACTCTTGGGAATTTCCTGGGAGCCTTCGGGGGGCCTAAGGTGCATCTTGGGGGCCTCCTGGAGCCTCTGGGGGTTTCCTAGGAACGCTTGGGGACCTCTTGGGGGCCTCTTGGGGTCCTTTTGGGGTCCTCTTGGGGTCCTTTTGGGGGCCTCTTGGGTCCTCCTAGCCTCCGGAGGTCGTCTTGGGCTCTTCCTCGGCAGTCGTGGGTCCCTGTTCGGGCGCTTCAGAGCCGTCTTAGAGGTCTCTGGGGCCAGAATGGTCCTCCCTGCTGCCCCAGCCACCGCGCCGGACTCACCGGACTCACCGGACTCACCGGACACGCCAGCCTCCTCCTCCTCCTCCTCCTCCTCCTCCTCCTCCTCCTTCTCTTCCTCCTCCTCCTCCTCCTCCTCCTCCTCCTCCTCCTCCTCCTCCTCCTCCCCCTCCTCCTGCTCAACGTTTGTCGTCCTCGTCGCCTCCTGCTCGTCTCTGCCCTCGCCCCCCCAGGTCGGCGGTCTCTGGGGCATCGGCGGCGGCGGCGCGGAGGCCCCGTCGCCCCGCTCTCGCCCCTGCCGCACTGGGGCGGCTGTGGGAGAGAAGGCGGGGCAAGGGGGGAGGCGGGGAGAGCGGAGGGAGGCGGGGAGAGCGGAGGGAGGCGGGGAAGAGGAGGAGGAGGAGGAGGAGGAGGAGGGGGAGGGGGAGGGGGAGGAGGAGGAGGAGGAGGAGGAGGAGGAGGAGGAGGAGGAGGAGGAGGAGGAGGAGGAGGAGGAGGAGGAGGAGGAGGAGGGGGAGGGGAAGAGGGGATGAGGAGGGGCGCGAGGAGGATTAGGGGATGTGGGGTAAGAGGAGGGATGAGGAGGATGAGGAGGTTAGAGGAGGAGGGGGGAGGAGGAGGAGGGGAGGAGGCGGAGGAGGAGGAGGGGAGGAGGGGGGATGAGGAGGGATGAGGAGGGATGAGGAGCGATGATGATGATGATGATGATGATGATGATGATGATGATGATGATGATGATGATGATGATGATGATGATGATGATGATGATGATGATGATGATGATGATGATGATGATGATGATGATGATAACAAGCAGATGATGATGATGCTGATGATGATGATGCTGATGATGCTGCTGATGATGATGATGATGATGATGATGATGATGATGATGATGCTGATGATGATGATGATGCTGATGATGGATGATGATGATGATGATGATGATGATGATGATGATGATGATGATGATGATGATGATGATGCTGATGATGATGATGATGATGATGATGATGATGATGATGATGATGCACGGCTGATGCTGATTGATGCTGCTGATGCTCATGGTGGTGATGATGATGCTTCTGATGAGGATGATGATGATGATGATGCTGATGATGATGCTGCTGATGCTCATGGTGGTGATGATGATGATGATGACGATGATAATGATGATGCGGCTGATGCTGAGGACGATGGTGATGCTGATGATGATGCAGATGATGGTGATGGTGATGAGGCTGCTGATGATGCTGATGATGATGATGATACTGCTGATGCTGATTGATGCTGCTGCTGATGATTGATGATTGATGATGACGATGATGATGCTGATGATGCTGATACTGACGATGCTGATGATGATGCTGAAGATGATGATGATGAGGATGATGATGACGATGGTGATCATGATGATGCTGCTGCTGCTGGTGATGATGATGATGATGCTCATGACGACGATGATGATGCTGATGATGATGCTGCTGATGATGATTACGATGATGACGATGATGATGCTGCTGATGCTGCTGCTGCTGCTGATGATGATGATGCTGATTCTGATGATGCTGCTGCTGATGATGACGATGATAATGAGGATGAGGATGAGGATGATGATGAAATTGATGATGATGATGATGAGGATGCTGCTGATGTTGATGCTGATGATTGTGATGACGATGATGAGGATGATGATGATGATGCTGCTGCTGCTGATGATGCTGCTGCCGATGATGTTGCTGCTGATGATGATGATGCTTCTGATGATGATGATGATGATGATGAGGAGGAGGAGGAGGAGGAGGAGGAGGGGATGGAGGAGATAGAGGAGATGGAGAAGGAGGAGGAGGAGGAGGAGGAGGAGGAGGAGGAGATGGAGATGGAGGAGATGGAGGAGGATGGAGCAGATGGAGAGATGGAGTTTGAGGAGGAGGAGATGGAGGAGGAGGAGATGGAGGAGATGGAGGAGATGGAGAGATGGAGAGAGGAGGAGGAGGAGGAGGAGGAGGAGGAGGACAGGAGGAGCAGGAGGAGGGAGGGAGGGAGGGAGGGTGGGTGGGTGGGAGAGAGAGTGATGGAGGGAGGGTGGGTGGGAGGGAGGGAGGGAGGGAGGGAGAGAGGGAGGGAGTGTGGGAGGAGGAGGAGGCGGAGATCGATGATCATGATCAGATGATGATGATGATGATGATGATGATGATGATGATGATGATGATGATGATGATGATGATGATGACGATGACGATGACGATGACGATGATGATGACGATGACGATGATGATGATGATGATGATGATGATGAAGATGGTGATGCTGATGATGATGTTGATGATGATGCTGCTGCTGATGATGATGATGATGCTGATGCTGATGCTGCTGCTGCTGAGGAGGAGGAGGAATAATACGAATGATAATAATAAGATGTACAATGAAAGAATAATGGTCATACTAATCAGACAAATGGAGAGAATACGAATAATACTAAAATTAATAAGAATAATAATAACACTAATAATAATCCTAATAACCATACGACGAAGAATACTAATAAAACAAAAATAATGATATTACGAAGAATAAAAGGAATAATAGTAATCATACTAATAGGAATACGAGTGATAATCATATGAATAATAATAATCATAATACTATTACGAAGAAGAGTACTAATCCAAATAATAATATGGATACCGTTAAGAAGAAACTGACAATAATAGTAATACGCATAAGAATGATGATAAATGATACTGCTATTAATACTAAGCAGACTATTATCAATAACCATAGTAAGAGTAAGACGAAGACTACTGATAATAAGAATACTAATAATATTATTGATAGTATTATTATTCATACTAATGGTAACAACAATATGAAGAAGAGGAGGAGAAGGAGGAGGAGGAGGGGGAGGAGGAGGAGGAGGAGCAGGAGCAGGAGCAGGAGGAGAAGGAGGAGGAGGAGGAGCAGATGGAGATGGAGATGGAGGAGGAGGAGGAGGAGGAGGATCCCCCTCTCCCTTTCCTTGCTCTTGTCCCTCCCCCTCCCCGCACCCTCCCCCCCCCATCCCCTGTCACCATCTCGCTCCCTGCCTCCTCCCTCCCCTCTCTCGGGGGCCTCTCTCGCCTCCTCGCTGGCCGCGAGCAGCGCGCCCTCGCGCCCCCGCGCTCTCGCGTGCGCCGAGCGCTCAGGCCACGCAGCAGACGGCGGCCAAGGCCGTGGCGTCCTTCAACCGCGACGCGGCCGCGTTCCGGCCCGAGGCGGCGGCGGCCGCGTTCCGGCCCGAGGCGGCCGCGGGCGGGCTGGCGGGGCTCGTCGTCGTCGTCGTCGTCGTCGTCGTCGTCGTCGCCGTCGTCGTCGTCGTCGTCGTCGTCGTCGTCGTCGTCGTCGTCGTCGTCGTCGTCGGGGGAAGTGTCTCGCTCGGCGGGCGGACCTGCCGAGTCTCACCGAGCGCGCTCCGCTGCTCGCAGAGCGCCTGCGCGCAGACATCGGAGAAGCAGATGTTCGCCCGGAAGTTACTGGGTCGTAAGGCTCCCGCGGCGGATCCTGACCGTTTCCCAGCAGTTACCTTGCGAGGAGTGGAGCGCGCCTGTCTGGAGTCCGGGCCGCGTCTGGGGCGCCAGAGGAGCGTCGAGCAGCGCTCGGGGCACGAGCAGCGACATGAATATAAGCTTTCGGAGGTCCGTGCGGACATCCGAAACTTCATGCTCATGCCATGGTTTGTTCCCCGAGAGGTGGCCAGAGGCGAAGCGGCAAGGCTACGCGCAGAGTGGGGGGGGCAGGGCGAGGGGGGAGGAGGAGGAGGAGAAGGAGGAGGAAGAGGAGGAGGAGGAGGAGGAGGAGGAGGAGGAGGAGGACGCGGAGGAGGAGGCGGAGGAGGAGGAGGAGGAGGAGGAGGAGGAGGAGGAGGAGGAGAAGGAGGAGGAGGAGGAGGAGGAGGGATTGGGTGCAGAGCTAGCAAGGGGCCCGCGGGACGGATTCGCAGCACGAGGAGGCTTCGAGGAGACTCGGACGTCTCGTCCCCAGAGATCCAACGTATTGAACAAATCAATACGTTTTTTTTTTTTTTTCGGCCTCTAAGGTTCCTCGCCAGGCCCCAGGAGCGTCAACAGAACGACTCGGGATGAACGACCGGTCCCGGGGAAGGGGTCGAGACTTCCGGGGACCCCGTTCTGAAGGAATCACGACGTCGGATCTCTGGGTCGGCAATCTTGGTCCACGGGCGACCTGTATGCACCGAACCGCCACGGGCGTCTCCCAGGGCGTCGTCAACCCTCGACCCCAGAGTGGTGCGGCCCCTCGGTCTCTTGTCGGCCCTCGGGGCCGACCCGCTGTGCACCGTGCCGCGCTGGAGCGGGGCCCGGGGTGGAACCCAAGCACGGTGCGGTGCACGTCTTCGCATCCAGCGCTTCGACACTGGGCGGAAGGGAGGGGGCCCAAACATGGTACGTGCGGTGCACGTTGTCGTATTCGGCGTTTCCACCTCGGGCGTCAGGGGGGGCGGGATGTGGGGGTCTGGCTCCAGACCTCTGCTTCACGCGACGGTTGGCAACAGTGTGTCCTATGGAGGAGACTCCGCCTGCTTGAGACAGGCGCCAAAAGCAGCCAAGATCTACTCCATGGGGGTGGGGGGAGGGGGTGCCAGGGCCCGCGCCGATCGGCAAAGCAGTGAATAAGAAAACGAGCCGGAGCCATATCCCCCCCCCTCCTCCTCCTCCTCCTCCTCCTCCTCCTCCTTCCTCCTTTTTCCTCCTCCTCCTCCTCCTCCTCCTCCTCCTCCTCCTCCTCCTCCTCCTCCTCCTCCTCCTCCTCCCCCTCCTCCTCCTCCTCCTCCCCCCCCCCTTCCGCCCGATGCCGAAACGCTGCAGTGGGCGCCGTGCTCTTGCTTCGGGTGCCCGGGGAGGGTCTCGCCGGAGCTCGGCGCCGCGCGGAGCTGCAGCGGGCGAGGCCGGAGGCAGGGGGGGGGGCCTGACGTGGGAGCCAAGCCAGTGGTGCAGTGCATGGGCGCCGCGCTCCGCGTTCCGGGGCCCTGCCCTACTTTTGGACGCTAAATCGACGTAGGTCGACCCTAGATCGACGCTGCTCGACGCTAACCGACGCTGAATCGGCGCTACCTCATCGACTCCCAGTCGCTATTCGACCATCATCCACGCTGAAGACGGGAGTAAGAGGGTATATACCTTTGGACGCCCGAAATGGGTAATTACGGAAAAGATTGGTACAATGCCCAACAACAAATTTTGTCCCAAACCAACAGCGGCCGCTGTTGGGCAGGCGGCCTCCTGTCCCGAATGGCCACAGGCCGCGGCGGCGTGGGCAGCGAGCCCGGTTCAAAATGAACACGATCCGCTGTTGGGCATTGTACCCATTCTTTCCGTACCCATTTCGGGAGTCCAACTACTGCGGACAGGGTCTGTATCCGTACTCGGCCACGCGTAGAGGGGGGTAGCTCAAAGTCGGGCCTCTCCCTCTACACGAGGAATATCGCAAAATAGTAAAAAACAAGTCTGGGGACGGTTTGCTGATTGTGTTTTATCATTTTTGACTATTTTTTGAGTCTTTGTTATTTTTCGTCCACGCTCCCCCTGCAGGAGGACATGCCTCCACTTCAGGGTAGCCCTTTCTTCTCGATCATGACTCGAGTGCAGTCGGACCTTCATGGTGCGGTGTGCAGGGGCGCCGTCCTCGTGCTTCGGGTGCACGGGGAGGGCCTTGCAGGTGCTCGGCGCCTCTCGGAGGAGGAGGAGTAGGAAGAGGAGGAGGAGGAGGAGGAGGAGGAGGAGGAGGAGGAGGAGGAGGAGGAGGAGGAGGAGAGAGGAGGAGGAGGAGGAGAGGAGGAGGAGGAGAGGAGGAGAGAGAGGAGGAGGAGGAGAGGAGGAGGAGAGAGAGGTGGAGACCACCGGGCGCGGCCCGGAGGCAAGGCCGAGGCGGACCCGGTAGGGCCCAGGGCTGTGCGCAGCACCCCCCGCAGGGAGGCAGAGCCTGGCGGGCCTGCTGCGGGCCCCCACGTGGCAGGCCGGAACGGGCCCTCGGCCACCTGCTCGGCGTCGCGCGGACGTGCGCATGTCTTCCGCGAGAGCCCTCGAGGCGCACAGCGGGTCATCCTGCGAAGCGTCAGCGCACGAGATCGACAGATGCACGAGGCATGGACGCCCGAGCGATGGCGAGCCTGGTGCCGCCTCGCAGCGGCGCGCCCTCCCCAGGGGGGCCCTCCGCGCCCTGTCGAGGCCGCTCCTGGCGCTGGTGGCATGGCGAGCCCAGCTGGGGCTGCCTCTGGGGGCTGTCTCTGCGCAGCCCTGGGCCTGGGCTCCGTACCTCAGAGGAGGAAGTGGTCCCATGCCGCTGTCCTTCCCTCGTTTTCCTCCTCTTGAGCCTCCTGGGAGGCCCTCGTCGCCACCGCTACATTCGCCTCGAAGTTCTGGCCAGAACGCACCCCGGGAGAGGTCGGGGGAGTAGCGGCGTCGGTACCTTTTGGTGTCCCCAGTATCGTTTAATCCATCCCCATCCCCATCGGCCCATGGCACCCCAGCCCCACCATCTCACCGCCCCAGTGGGGGGACGTACCCCTCGAAACCCGGAGGGAACATCCCATATCCCCATCCAGGGGTGTCCATCGGCCAGCGGGGCCCAGGCCACGCCCGTGGGGATAGTCGGACAGGGCCTGGACGAGGAGAAATCCGTTCCAGAGAGTTCCAGAACGCTCTCAGAGAGTCCTGGACCGCTCCGAGAAGGCCGCGGCACCAGAGACGTCCTCCAGAGCCGCTGGACCTCAGGGATTCTCGATTTGTCCTCATCCGATTGTATCCTCACCCTGGCTTCGTCTTAGATGGGGATGGACTAAGCGATGTTCAGAGGGGTTGGGTTACACGCCAGTCGTTGAAAGCATGTCTGTACTTTTGGATCACCTGATCCCAATCTACTTTAGGCGCCTTCCTGCTTCAATCATCGAGTGCCTTTTCCTTTCCCTCCTCTTCAGGGGGCGGGCGGAAGCCCAATCTGCTTCCGAGACCATCCTGCTTCCTGCCTCTACCCACTTCTTCCGACCGACAGATAGGATGATGATGAGGAGGAGGAGGAGGAGGGTAGCTCAGAGGAGGAGAAGGTACCCATACCGCTACCCCTCGCCCGTTTTCCCCTTTGTCGGCTTCCTGCGAGGCCCTCAGCGTCACCGCTGGATTCGCCTCGAACTCTTGGTCAGAACGCACCCCAGGAGAGGTCCGGGGAGTAGCCGTGTCGGAGCTTCTCGGTTTCTCCAGTAGCTTTTTCGACGACGACGACGGCGACGGCGACGGCGACGGCGACGGCGACGGCGACGACGGCGACGGCGACGGCGACGGCGACGGCGACGGCGACGGCGACGGCGACGACGACGATGACGACGACGACGACGACGGTGACGACGACACCGACGACGACGACCGCCGCGACGGCGCGAGCCCGGCGGCGGGACGCAGCACGAGCCTGGCGGCGGCTCGAGTGCAGTCGGCTTTGGCTGGGCAGGACACGCAAGAGGCGTCGACGACGACGATGACGACGGCGATGACGACGGCGACGACGGCGACGACCTCGACGACGACCGCCGCGTCGGCGCGGGCCTGGTGGCGGCTCGAGTGCAGTCGGGCTTGACTGGGCAGGACACGCAAGAGTATATGGGACCCTTCCGAGGGCCACATTGCCATAGGAATGTACTCTGGATGAGGCAATCATCGCCCCCCCTAGGATCTGCTGGAGGGGCTGGGTACGTGCTGTCGGAACGGGTGGAGGGGGGGTGTTGGAGGAGGAGGAGGAGGAGAAGGAGAAGGAGGAGAGAGTCGGAGGAGGAGGAGGAGGCGGAGGAGGAGGAGGATGAGGAGGATGAGAAGGTGGAGAGGGGGGGGGGATGTGCAAGCTTCGATGGAAGGTTAGTCGCCCACCCTTGATTTGGCAGGGTCGGCCTACGAGTCAGTGCCCAGTGCAGCAGACCAGGCTCAGGCCTCTGGGGACGGCACGGCCAAGCTGAGCAGAGCAGCTGCAGAGTGATGAAGCACCCCCTGCTTCTTAGAAGGCGTGGGCCTTTTCTGTAGACGTGTGGCCAGCGCCTTTTGAGAGGCAGCCTCCTCCTGGGAAGCCTTGCCCCTCCGCCTACCCCCTGGTGCGCGCCGCCAGCGTATCCACTGCGTCTTGGACTTGCTGTACAGTGGCGCCAAGCGGCCGAGGGCGCAGTGCCTCTAGGGGCAAATCTGGCCTCTTGGGGGCCAGAGCCACATCCATAGCCGCTGCGCCTCGGGCCTCTGGGGAAGCCCACCCGAAGCTCCAGGACGCCGTAGCTACGGACAGGCATCCTGCCCGCACTTCTCCTCCCCGCAACCGGGGCCGTCGGAAGAGGGCTGGAGGGCTCGTCTCGGGCCCCTCAGCCCCCCCCCGGGCAGCGACCGCTGCCTGGAGCGAGGAGCGATGGACACGAACGCTGTTCTGCTGGACTTCAGCTGTCCTCTGTTTTTCGTGTTTTGGCAGGGAGGTACAGGAAAACAGGCAGAGCAACACGAAGCACAGAAACGAAGACAAAACGAAAAACAAAGTTGGGGTCCAGCCCCGAGCGAGCAGTCTTTGGGGAGGTCTGGGCAGGCGACGGTCGCTTCCTCGCTCGCCGCCCGGCTGCGTTCTGCAGCGGCGGCACCGCGCGCCGGGCTCTCCCTGGCGCGGCTGGCCCTCGCGGCGCCTCGGCTCTCGGGTGGTCCGCGCGCGTCTCTGTCCGGGATGGCATGGGATCTTCGAAGGTCACCGCCCACCAAGCCACCCCAACCCAACCCGAAGGCTCAGATTTACCCTCGATTTCCAGTGTGGGGGGGGGTCGGGAAACGTCGAAGAAACAGATGTGGAACCCTTACCCCCCCCCCAACCCGAAATTCGGGTCTTCGGGTTGGGTTGGGGTGGTCTGGTAGGTAGTCAGAAGGCTCGGTGCATCGGGCGCGAGTTTGCATCTTCGTGCGCTCGTTGTCGTCACGAGCATACATCAGCCATCCACCATGATCCCGGCTGGTATTTGCTCCCGAGGCGTGGCCGACCGCGACCGACGTGCAGTGCGGCTGGGGGGGGCGGACCCTTGTGTTCATCTTGCGTGCGTCTGCTGCCTTCTCGCTGACGCTTCCCTTCCCCCCTCCCTGTTCACCCCCCCTTTCCCTCTTGCCGCCCTTCCTCCTTCTTATCCCATGCCCCTTCTCACTTGTTGCCCTTTCCCTCTCGCCACTTTCTCTTACCTTTCACCCTCCTCCTCCTCTTCCCCCCGTTCCGCCCTGACTCCTCCTCTCCCCCTCTTCCCCCCTTCCCCTCCCCCTCTCTGTTCCCCCTCTCCCTGCCCCCTTTCCCCTTCCCTCCACAATTGCTCAACATGAATACTACTCTCCTCTCTCCCTTGAAGTTGTCCAGGGCGTGCCCGCCCCCTCTCCTGATGCTATTTTCACGCAGAGGATTCCAAGCATTGATGCTTCATACGCTTTTTACCCCCCTTCCGTTTTTTTTTTTTTTTTGTTTTTCATTTTTTTTTTTTGTGTGTTTTTTTGTGTGTGATTTTTTGTTTTTTCTCAAGTTTTTCAAAATGGTGCTCCCGCTGCAGCGTGGGCCTCATCTTCGCATCGTCCAGCTGCCCTCGTCGTTCAGCATTGGGCGCTCCTGCGCCACGCGTGGGCCACCTTTTTTCTGGACCCCACCGGCGTGGCAGGTCCTGACAGGTTCCACGGGGCCCACGGGCGTCGCAGGCGTCGCGGGCGCCGCAGGCCCCGCGGGCCCCATCAGCTCCGACGGGTCCACGGGTCTCACGGGGGGCGCAGGCGTCGCGGGTCTCGCGGGTCCCGCGGGTCCCGCTGGTCCCGCGGGTCCCACGGGTCCCGCAGGTCACGGGGGACCCACAGTTCCCATAGGTCCCGCAGGTCCCACAGGCGTCGCAGGTCTCACAGGCCCCGTAGGCCACAGAGGTCCACCAGGTCGCACAGGTCCCACAAGTCCCGCAGGTCCCACAGGTCCACAGCTCTCACACGTCCCACATGTCCCACAGTTTCCACATGCCACAGAAGTCCCACAGGTCCCACGGGTCCCACAGATCGCACAAATCCCGCAGGTCCCACGTGCCCCACAGGTCCCACAGGTCACCTTGGCTGCTGTTATGGTGCTTTGCTACTTTGCTAGAGTACTGGAGTTTGAGGTCGGCTATGACACGCGTCCAGGGATTGAGACAAATCAGCGCAACGGGAAGGGATGGGATGGAGGGATAGGATGTCAGATGTGGCGCGAGCGCACTTAGCTTGCCCTCTTCTTTTTTCCCTATCTCCTTTTTCCCTGCCCCTCTCTCTCTGGGTCTCTGTCTCTGTCTCTATCTGTGTCTCTGTCTCTCTCACTGGCTCTGCCTACCTCTGTCTCTGTTTACCTCGGTGTCTGTCTCTGTGCCTGTTTTTGATTCTGTGTCTGTGTCTGTGTCTGTGCCCGTGTCTGGTGTCTGTGTCCGTGTCGGTGCCCGTCTCTGTCTCTGTCTTTTTCTTCTTCTCTGGCTCGCTCTCTGTTTCTCTGTCCCTCTCTCCCTTAATTCCTGTTCTCCTGTCTCTCCGCGTCTCTCACTTCTCTTGTTCTCTCTCTCTCTCTCTGCGTCTCTGCCTCTTCCCCATCTCTATGTCTCGGTGTCAGTCTCTATATGTGTATCCCTGTGTGTGTGTGTGTGTGTTTTTTGTTTGTTTGTTTGTTTGTTTGTGTGTGTGTGTGTGTGCGTGCGTGCGTGCGTGCGTGCGTGCGTGCGTGCGTGCGTGCGTGCGTGCGTGCGTGCGTGCGCGCGCGCGCGCGCGTGCGTGCGTGCGTGCGTGTGTGTGTGTGTGTGTGTGTGTGTGTGTGTGTGCGTGCGTGCGTGCGTGCGTGCGTGCGTGCGTGCGTGCGTGTGTGCGTGCGTGCGCGCGTGTGTGTGTGTGTGTGTGTGTGTGTGTGTACGGCTACTTGTCATTCCACCTGGGCCCCGTCTTTTCCTTCTCCTCCCCTCCACCTCTCCCGTATTCAAGGATCTGGGATTTTGTGTCCCATCTGCACCCATCTGCGACGCACTGGTGCAAGGACGACTTGCGTGGCACGCCCTGTCTTTACCCGCAATGGGACCTTGTGTCCTACCTGTATCCATTGGGGCTTGTCCCCACGCGAGCACCCCGGTGCAGGCTGACGCGACTTCGGCTGGCGCGGGATGCCGGCCTTTCTCATCCCTGTTCGCTTCGTCCCCCCCCCGCTCGCTTCCCCCCCCTCCCATGGCGGCGGCGCCCGGCACAGCGCGGCTTCGGCCCGGTGCTGGGCACTGCACCTTGCCGCTTCGGCGGCCCCGGTTGCCTTGGGCAGCGCGGCTCAGGCATGGCCCTTGGCCATGCGGTCGTCAGGGCATCGTGTGTGGCACCCGCCCGTCTTCACGCGCTGACTGTGCAGGTCAGGTTTCCTCCCTGCACACCACCGACATCCAGTCGGACACGGACGGCCCTGTTTCTGGCCGCACCTCTTGCTGGCTGCTCCTTGGACGTGGATTGGACTACCACCCCAGGCCGCTTCCGACCGCCCGGTGGCGCAACGCTGCACATCGCCTTCGTGGTCCTCCTCACCTCCTGGGCCCCTCCTCACCATCTGGTGGCACAACGTTGCTCATCGCCTTCATGGTGGACTTCTTCCCACTGGACGTCGACCTGGTCGCGTTCATCCTCACGCATCGCTTGAGGACGGTGTTTACGATGCGCCGTCGACGGCAACACCACGTCGCTCGCCCTCCAGGACTTCGCCGCCGGCTCCTGTCCAAGGCGTTCCTTTTCCTGTGCAAGCTCCTCGGCACCGATTGCACCCCGGCCCGCCCTCCGGCCGCCTGAGGCCCCGCCCGCCTGTGCTCTGTCTCCCCAATTCGTGCTTTGCGTGGCCCGCCTAGCTCTTCTCCGGAAGAGGCTCGCTCTCGACCCGCAGACCAATAAGTTTGTGTGTGTGTGTCTCACTCTCTCTCTGATTCCATCCTTTCTTCTCTCCCTCTCTGCCCCGCCTCTGACAGACTTTGCTCCCGCTCCCAGTCCTGCGTCCCTCGCTCCCCCATGCGCCGCCTCCTCCCTTCTGCCCTTGCTCCTGCTCTCTTCTCTCCTGCCCCGTCCCGCTTCCTGCTCCTCGTCCCCCCATCCACGGAGCTCGTCCCAGTAATCATGGCCCTACACAGGCGCTGCGATCCCTCAGCGCGTCTCCTTTCTCCAGGGGGCGCCTGGTGGAAGCCAGGTGATTTCGGCAAACAGATTTTGGCACATGCCCGAGGTTGTGCAGGCCACGCTGGCCACCCCAGCAGTGACATTTACTTTTGCCGCTTCGCGTGTCCCCGCCAGGTCACCTGGGGCTTCGTGGGGGCGCGTTGGGGTCCGCTCCTTCTTCTTCCCCCCCTTCCCTGGCGTCGGTAGCCCTGGCATGCTGGAATAACGCTTCCGCATCCCCGCGAGGATGAGGAAGACGAGGGGGAGGACGAAATCGGCGCCGCGTTTTTGCATACATGGGTGGTGTGTTGAGAGGAATAGGGCGATGGGCAGGAGGCGTAGGGCGAGGGGGACGGGCGACGACGAAGGTGATGATGATGCTGCTGCTGATGATGATGATGCTGATGATGATGCTGATAATGCTGATTGTGATATTGTTGGTGATGGAGATGGTGATTGTGATGGTGACCAGGATGCGGATGAGGATGGGGATGATAATTTCGATGACGGTGACGATGCTGCTGATGGTAGTGATTATGCTGGTAGTCGTGGTGATGCTAACGATGATGCTGATTATGCTGATAATGCTGCTGCTGACGACGACGATGATGATGATGACGATGCTGATGATGCTGATGGAGGTGATGCTGATGATGCTGACGATGATGCTGCTGCTGATGATGATGGTGGTGATGATGATGCTGATGACGATGCTGATGCTGATGCCGATGATGATGCTGATGCTGATGATGATGCTGCTGATGGTGATACGGACTCTGAATATTATGATGATACTGATGCTGACGCTGATGCTGCTGATGCTGCTGCTGATGCTGGTAATGGTGATGCTGCTGCTGCTGATGATGATGATGATGCTGAAGATGATGATGATGATGATGATGATGATGATGATGATGATGATGATGATGATGATGATGATGCTGTTGCTGATGCTGATGCTGATGCTGATGATGCTGCTGCTGATGATGATGATGATGATGATGGTGATGATGATGATGATGATGATGATGATGATGACGATGATGATGGAGATGCTGACTCCAGGGGCGCTTGCGCGTCCCGTTTCTTCGCTGACCGATCTTTCTGGCCCCTCCGCAGGCGGGGCGCGGGCTCACTGGCTACACCGCGCCCTCGCCTTCACATACGAACGACTGTGTGCAACTAGCCGGCGCTCCCCCCGGGGCGTCGAGGCGTGCTCACAATTGTCATCCCAGGTCGATTGTCCCGACCGCCTCCCGCGGCTATCCCCGCGCTGGAGGCGCACGGTCCGCCCTTGACACATTATTTCCGCAGCTGTTGGCTGCGACCCCACGCACGGTATGGCAACCATATCTCTGCGGCTGTTAGCCGCGACCCCATTCGCAGCATGTCCCTGGCCCTCTGCGCTCTCCCCGGGGCGCGCGGGCCAGGTGGTTCATCGATTTACCGTCTCTGGCCCGTCCACCGTCCCGCGGCGCTCCCCCGCAGGAGCTGTATGGGCCACCCGGTGGTAATCTGTGTTCGGTTTCGCGGCGGAAGCACACGTGCCCACTGGCCGAAGCCTCTTTGACGACTCGTTCTGCCGACTTGGGGTACCTAGGACGCAGTGACCTGATTGCACTTCGAGCCTCCTCCTTCTCCTCCTCTTCATGACCATTGCAAGATCGGGGAGGCTCCAGCCGAGCATCGGGCGGGACAGCCGGCTGCTGCCCCGCCGCGGGGCCCACTCCTCTACACATGGGCGCCTCCCAGCGCCAGGAGGCGCCAGGAAAGCCAGCTGCAGTCGGGCCGCTGAAGAAGGAGCACTTCTCGTTGGGGAGGGGCTCGGTGCTCCTTAATTGCTTCACACTTTGTCTTAGGTTCTCCTTCAGTTTCCGATGGGAAGTCCAAGCTTAGCTTATATAGGGTGCCTTATTCGGGGTTCCCTATGACGGCGTCTCGACTGTGCCCTGTGCTATCCTGCCCTCTCGTCCCTCCCGAGCCGAGCACCCGCCTCCCCGACGTCCCCCGAGCCCCTCCCCTGCAGCTCAAGATTCGGCGGCACGCCCAGGGGGGAAGTGTGGAGGGGCGGGCCTTCTCAGAAAGCGGCGGGGCTTTCCAGAAGTTTCCCGGCCCTCTGAGAGCTTTCCGGTGCCTTCGGGGCAGATTTAGACAACTTTTCAGAAGGCCCGAGGCCGTCTGAGCCTTCTGGGAAGGCCCGCCCCCTCTGACCTCCCCCTGGGGCTCGCCGCCGAAAGACAGGATGGCATGAAGTGTGGTCCCCGCCTTCCCCCCGCCCCCGCCGGAGGTACGCGGTGATGCAGCAGGAATTGGCCGCCTGGTGGGGCTGCCATTCTGGCCCGCGGACCCCGCCGCCGGGAGCGTCAGGGAAGTCCCTCCTCCTCGTGTGGTCCTTCACGGGAGCCCCAGTGGGTCCCCCAATTCCTTGCGGCTTGGGGGATTTCGTTGGATTTCGTCGGATTTGGCCGACATTTGGTCGACATTTGGACGATCGAAATCGACGCGATCGAAATGGGCACGAGGAGATCCACAGAGACCCCCTGCAGGCTCACCCAGCTTCTCCTCGTACCCACCGCCAGAAAATGTATCTACATCCTCAGTGGGCCCTCGAAGCCACATGGCATTCTGTTTTTTTTGTGCGGCCGTAGTTTTCAAGTTTTTTTTCCAGTTTCGGGCGCAATTATTCTGACGTTTCGGGCGCACTTGTTTTGCGTTTGCGTTTCCCCTGGTGGGGGCCTGGTCCAGGTCACCGTCTTCTTACCGGATCCGGGCCATTTTCGAACCTGTTCAGAATGTCCATCGGATCCGAGGGCTGCCCAGGCAGTTTCGGTGAAAGGTTTTTTTATTGTGTCGGTGAATGTGTTTCTGCAGATTTCAAGAACAAGAGGCAGATTCTTGAAAGCGGTAAGCGACGGCCTTGCCATTTCCGGGGCCCGCTAAGTCCACACCCTTTGCATCGGAGTCGTGCCCCCCCAGAGACCTCTTGAGTGGCAACTGTTCCATACCCGCCGCTTCATTGGGACCCGGGGCAGGGATGTTTCCTGGCGGTGCTTCCTCGTACTCCACACCTTGCTGTCGCTTCAGCAGGGTGCCACAGGGAGACCAGGGCATGACGAAGCGTTGTCCCTCTTGTCCGTGTTGATCGCAGGGGCTTCCCCTTGTCCTAGGGTCGGTGGCTCTGACGTCGGAATCCATCGGGGGTGGACAGAACCCCCAACAGTGACACGTCGATTAGTGAATTGTCCGTTTTCGGTTCTCGAGAGGGCGTCGTGGCCGTTATTTTCCAGGCTTGCGCCCGCCAGGTTTGGGCCTTAGGTCGTTTTCACTAAACCACGTTTTACTAAAGGGGGGTCTGTCCATCCCCGAATCCACCCACTACCTTCCTTGCCTTTTACGGTATTTCGTCGACGTTTCGAGGACGCCTGCGGCGAGTCGCCGCCGCTCCCTGCCTTTCTGGACACGCCGACGTGGCCAAGCGTTGGGCCAAAGCTTGGCCAAGCTCTGGGACTATGTGTTCCTCCAGCCTTTGTGGAAACCCTTGGGGGAATACGTGGGGGAGGAGGAGGCGGAGGAGGAGGAGGAGGAGGAGGAGGAGGAGGAGGAGGAGGAGGAGGCGGAGGAGCAAGAGGAGGAGGAGAAGACGGAGGAGAAGGAGGAGGAAGAGGAGGGAGGAGGAGGAGGAGGATGAGGAGGAGGAGGAGGAGGATGAGGAGCAACATGAGGCCTCTTGAGGTCCTCTTTGGGTCTTCTTCGGCCCTCTTGGTTCCCTCTTGGGGGTTTCTGTGCGGGGCCCCTGGGGGCCTCTCAGGGGCCTCTTGGTCTTCGGAGGCTGTCTTGGGACCTTCTTTGGGCGCTTGAGGGCCGTCTTAGAGGTCTGTGGGTCCGTCTTGAGGCCCTCTTGGGGCCGTCTTGGGGTCTTCTTGGGTCGTCAGGGGGCCCACTGGCCCTTCTTGGGACTCTCTTGGGGTCTTTTGGGGCCGTCTGGAGGCTATCTTGGAGGCCTCAGGGGCTGTCTTCGGCCGTCGGAAGCTCGAAAGGGCGAGAACGCGAACACTATTGTAACACATCAGGAACATGAGTGATTCTGACCTCGTGGAGGTCCTCTGATAGCCCTCTTGGAGCGTCTCGGGTGCTCCTTGTGCCGTCTGGAGGGCATCTTGGGCCGTCTTTGAGCCATCTTGGGCCGTCTTGTTTGCATCTTGGGTCCTTTTTGGGCCATCTCGGCCCTCCTGGAGGCGTCTTAGAAATTGGGACCGTCTTGGAGGCTATCATGGGTCAACTTGGCCGTCTTGGATGCCTTCTCAGAGCCGTCTTGGGGGAAAGGCCCTTGCCTTCCACCTCTTGTTGCAGTTCTTCCGGGTGGCCGGCGGGATCGGCCAGAGGCCTTTACCAACCTTTGGGGAGCCCGACGGGTGAAGAAACGTCTGGCACGCCATGCGCCTGGATCTAGTGGCCTCATGGGGGGCGACGCATGGTGGGGTGGCGAAACATGGTGCAATGAATGGTGGGGGCGACGAATGGGGGGGCGATGCATCGTAATGGAGGGCGATCTATGGTTGGGTGAAGAAAGGTGCACTCTCAGGAGCCCCGCAGGGGGCACGCTGGTGCCCAAAAGCGGCACGAAGGGTGCCTGTCTCTTCGCCCCCACAGCATTCCCCCTCAATGAGTCGCCCCGCCCCCCCCCTTCACCGCGCCTGGGTCGTGGACAGACGGCGTCTCAGAGGCCTCCTTGGGGCCTCTCGGGAGGTCTCCTCTGGAGAGGCCTCTCGGGGCCCTCGTGGCCTCGTGAGGACCCCTCCGAAGTCCCTTGGCGCCTCGTGGGCGCTTCTTCTGGGGGCCCTCGGCGGGCGCCTCGGGGGCCTCGTGGGCGCCCGCGGGCGGTCTCCGGGGCCCTCTCGGCGGAGCGTGCTCGACGTGCCCCTTCGGGCCCCCCCTCTCTCGGGCCACTCCTGGGGCCGTCTCGGGGGCCTCCCTGGGCCTCGGGGGCCTCTTCGGGGGCGATCTTTTGGGGTCGCTCGGGCTGTCGTGGACGCCCGCCAGACATAACACAACGAGTATGCTAAAATCATACGAGCCACATTTGAGCGGTTGTGGCCCTCGGGGCCGACCCCCAGGACATCCAAGACGGCCCAAGAGGCGCCCAGGAGGCGCCCCTAAACTGTGCCAGTGCGGGCCCTGGGGACCATTTTTAGGTATTGTTAGGGCGTGCGGACCCTCCCGAAAAGCCGCGCGAGAAGCCCCAACAGCGGTGGCGCTTCACGATTTCGGGAATCTGGGCTGTAGGCTCCTTGAAGAGTACAGTCAGCCCGCGTAGTACGGATGGGCGACCTTCCCAAGGGTACCCTTGCATCCTTGCCTCCTCGGTCCATGCTTGGCCGCTTTCGTTGGCCGCGCCCCGCTCGAAAAGCTTCGAAATGGCCTTCCAAGACCCTTGCATC